AAAAATTAATTTTATTTAATTTTATTAATAAAAAAAAATTTTTTTGTAATTTTTTACTACCTAAATTTTTTAATCTGATATTTTTTAAATCGAATTTAAATCGATCATTTGATCAATTTAACTTGAATTCAACTAAAATTTGCTAATTACTGCTAATTTGTAGTTAATTTTTGGCCAATTTCTGACTGATTTGTGATTAAATTTCACTTTAGTCTAGTATATGCCAACTTTTACATCTATTTGCAAGAGTATTAATATTTATAGAAGGTGATTAGTATTCAACATTAAGTATAATATATTTAATAGTATAATACCTTTTTAAAAATTTAGATTTAATAAAAAACAAATTTACAAATATTGAGTTTATTAAAATATATGAAAATTTTCACAAATCAATAATATCTCAATAAAATGATCTAAAAATAGTTAGATAGTTTGCTTTATTTTTAGATTTTGCTTTAAAAAATTGTCAGCTATCTCATCTATAATATAGCAAAAAGTACTTTAAGAATTATATAAAGAAATTGAATCTTCTTATTATACAAATAACTTATCAACTACTAATAAACTCTTGATATGAAAATGTCTTCTTTTTTTAATAATAGAATTAAATCTTCATCTTTTTCTTCAATTAATACCAAATTTAATCAATTCTGCAAATCTTTAAATATAATCTAAAAGACTCGTATTATGAAAAATATAATTTTTTAAGATGATGAAATGAGTACAAAAGTACTTTACCTCTTTTTGCAAAGCAAGTATAGATTTTTCTTAATATTCTGACAACCTCTATATCTTCTGAATAACTTTTTTTTGATACAAATAATACTATAACAGATAAATATAACTGTCTAAGCTCTGATTTGGTTTATGATCTATTATTTTTAAAAAGAAACTCAAAAATAATTAATCATATATCATTCTATAGCATATATACCAAAAGGTTAAAAAAAAATTGCACGTAAAAATAAATTTAAAATTAAAATAAATTTTTTTTTTATTTTATAAAATTGATTAAATAAAAAGAAACTATATATAAAGTAATTGATCATTTAGATCATTTCTTCAAAAATATAGAAAGTATATTGCAGTTAATCATATCTATTTTAAATTATTTGCTATGAATTAACTAATTAGATTGATTGACTTCAACTTAGCTAGCTAAGCTAATTTTTAAATATCGAGTTAGTCAAGTCAATAAATTAGGATCGATTACAAACATTAAATATAACATAATTATTAAAAGATAAAGATTTATATAAGTAAATTAAGGATATAAATTAATTAGTAAGTTTTTGAGTTATAAACCAAGTCTTTAGATATAAAATATTTTTGTCACCTCATATAAAAATTTTACTATAAAGCTATAATTTCTAAAAATAAATTAATAAAATATTTACTGGCAAGTTTATTTAAATTTAAAAATATTATTAGTTGTGTTTAAATAAAGGCATGTATTTAAGAAAGCTTTCTATAGAGAATATATTTAAAAAAAATTGTATTTAGAAAGGTTTGACTGTATTAAAAATTCATTAATATTAGAATTGTTAATATTGAAAATTTAATATTAGAAATTTGTTAGTATCAGGATTTTGAATATGGAAATTTCAATATTATCTAGCAGCTTACTATAATAGTGCTTGCCAAATAACTATATATTATCAGAATTTTGATAATACTAAGATTTTGAATGCTGGAATTTTAAGCATCGAGATTTGAGTATCAGAATTCTGTAGTAAAACACGTTTGAAATGCGAATTACGTTTCAAGATCAGATGTAGTGTAACAAGATCAGAAAAATTCAAAAACAAATATCTGTTTTGTCAAACATCATCTATTAAAATTCACAAAAACCTTGAGTGCTTTAATTACTATGTGTTTGTTAATGCTTAACTTTAACAAACATTGAGCTTCAAAGAATTTGTTTGCGCCACAAACTTGTTACACATTTCAGATGTGACCTTAGGCGAAATAGCTGTTTGGCGAAATCGGTTTATGCCTCTAAGCCCAGCCTATGTTAAATATGTGCCAAAGCTCGGCCAGACCACAAATTTCTGAGCTTAGCCCAGCCCATACACTATCTATCAAACATGTAAGTTATGACATGCCTTACAAGTCAACTTAGTTTACTATAAATACCGCACACAAATTTCTAAGCTTATACCAGCCCATTTCACACACTATCAATCAATCGTGTAAGTTATAACATGCCTTACAAGTCATCAACCTAGTCTTAGTTTACAATAAATACCGATACCATTTAATTATTCTGTTTATCCGATTTTTCTGTTAGATATCATCTCTATAACAATAACGATAGTTGAAAGTGTTGGCCATTTTAGCATTTTAGGTTATATCCAACTTTATCGTTATACGACCAAAGTGGACATATATATAGCAAATTTTAAGTCATATAAAAGGTAGGTAATTAGCAAATACAATAGGTCAATAACAGTCATAGGTCAAAACTGAATGATAGAAGTACATTCAGAACACTGTTAGACATTGGATATTTCCGGTTATTTTAGTAAAATAAACTTTTACGTATCAGGTATCTTAAAATATGTGTAGCGATAGTACGTACGTACGTAGCCTGTTTCTATATTAATCCATAAGAGCTGGGACAGGTTTGACATGTAGTAATCTTGGCCGATAGTGAAAAAAGCAAATTATCGGCTTAGCCGGTTGACCGATTTTATTACTAGGATTGTAGCATTCGAGGTTGAACCTAAAATATGAGCAAGGTTGAAGCCAAAAAATTTTCAGTAAAGTCCGAATTAAATGGTGTAATTTTAAAATCGGCTAAGCTGGCTAAGCTGGTAAATTTATCGGCTTTGACATAGATGGACGTTCAAAATGTACAACACTAGATGAGGGTACTCCCCCTTTATTCTTCCTTTTTTGTCTCCGTGTAACGTAATTTGTGCGATCGTTTTTTTTTTTGTATATAATGCTAACGATACCTTTTCTTTTTCAAACACCTTGATGGCATCATAATGATATATGAGTCTTTAATGTATTATTCCTAGGTGTTCGTTTTAGCATCTTAATAAATTTCATCATGATTCTTAAGAAATTATATTTGTTATATTCAACATTTTTTTCATCCAAATTTGTTCTGGTTTTCATATTATTCATTTTAATCACTGACCTATTACTACCTACGGTTTTTCTTGAAGAAAATAATATAGCATCGGCATCGGATACATTTTCATGTAAGGCAAGCCAAGAATTGTTCATGAAATTTGAATTGTAAATTTTCATAATATATTCTTTTTTTAAATACAGTCCTAAATGACCACATTGTTTCAAGTAAATTATGTGACCCAAGAGTTAAACAGGTATTGCTCAAAGTTATAATTATTTTTGCATTTTCTAAATAATTAAATTATTTATTTAGCAAATTCAAAATAGTACTCTGGATATTTAAACATCGCACTAGATGCAAATATGTTTTTTTGGTTTTTTGAATCTCGTAAAAATCCCAAAAATTCTCCATTAACAATATGGCTTAGTGGTGGGCCCGGTGATTCTTCAATGTTTGCGTTGTTTCAAGAGGTTGGTCCATGCAAGGTAAAAAGAAATATGAACAAAAGCAGATTGGCTGCAAATAGTTGGAATGAAGTGACAAATTTGCTGTTTATTGATCAGGTCTGAATTTACTATTAATATTTAATATAATAATTTTGAAATTTATTATTAAAATTATTCATAAAAAGTTTTTAAATTAAAAGCCAATTGGTACTGGATTTTCATATGGGACACGTATGGTGAATACATCAGAACAAGCAGCTTTGGATGTATATGAATTCTTACAAAGATTTTTTATAATGTTTCCAAAGTATGCAACTTTGGATTTACATCTTTTTAGTGAATCTTATGGTGGTCATTATGGTATGTCATCTGTGAATTACTCTATAAACTATTATAATTTATTAATCCCTTTTTATCTTTTTAGTTCCAACTATAGCTAAACTTATTGTAGAAAATAATAATCTTCTCAAATCTGGCAAGATAAAAGATATAATACCAATTAATTTAAAGTCTTGTGGGATTGGAAGTGCTTGGGTTGATCCTATTATTCAAATGTAGGTTTTTTTATTCACATTTGCATTTATTTTAGAGACTGCTGATATTATATAATGCTAAACTTTGACATTATAGAAGATCTTATATCAATTTTGCAGAGAATAATACATGTATAAAAATCTTAGTTTGAAGTCTTTATTTATATATAGATTCTTTAATTCTCATTTTTCTTTATATGCAGACAAACCTTTATTAGGTCCACAGCTTATCGAGGCGATGCATGATACATGGACACTATGCCAATATACTAGTATGTTTTTCTGTCTGGTAATAAATTATCAACCAAGCTTTAAAAATAACTGACCATTTTAATTAACACAGTTAACGAATGTTATCAAACCAACACGACACATGATTGCGTCGCTGCAAATATAACTTGCTGGGAGGGTTATAATGGGATATATACTCAAAACGCTGATGCTGGCCTTTATGATATTCGCACAAAAAATGACCATCCAGTTCCTACGTATACAAAATACTTGGAAAACCCCTTTGTTTTAAAATCAATTGGCGTTAATACTACTGCGATATCAAAATATTTAGAATATAATGAAGCAATTTATTTTAGATTTACAGATTCTGGTGACGTGTATGTGCTATTTAAGAATAATTTAATAATTGTTTGGTTTTTACTAGAGTAAGGTGTTGACTTTTAATCATAAGATTATTTCCTTTTAATTAGGATACATTCCACAATGTCTCAAGTAGAATTTCTTCTTGACAATGATGTGCCGATAATGTTCTTCACCGGAGATGCTGATTATATTTGCAACTGGTAATATAACATCCACACTGTTTATTTTTATTTTAACAAAATTTTTTTAAATGATGATTTATTGAAAGGTTGGGTGGCAATGAAATGGCTGAATCATTGAAGTGGAAGCGTCGCAAAGAGTTTAATAATGCTGTGTTCCAAGAATGGACAGTGGGTGGAGTAAAAGTTGGCGAGATCAGAAAAGTTAAAAATTTATGGTTTGTTAAAGTCTTTGAATCTGGGCATTTTATACCACATGATCAACCAAGGAATTCATTAGAGTTGTTTAAAATGTGGATTCGAAGTTTGTAAACTTTTCAAATCCAGACTAAATACGGTTTAGTGTAGGCATTTAGGTATTGGTTGCAGAGCTTTTAGGTCCACTTCGAGTTTGGTCAAACACAGACCCAAACCTGAACTCGAACTCGAAATTTTGATAATTTTCAAACCTAAACCGGAACTGAACTTATGACTTGGGTTCGGGTCTGAAGGTTTGCAAACATGTCCGGTTTGATGTGCAAAGCACCAGCATCGTCAAGCATGGAAGACTTTAATTTTGATTGGTCAATACTAAATGTATCATTACGTATTACTGCATATTTATTTGCTATGAAAAGGAATTGCCAAACTCAGAAGCTACACTTTTTATTTAATATATGACATAATAATTTTGGTTTAGGTGTATATAAAGTAAAAATCTTTGTATTATATTACAAATAGATTAGAAAAAATTAAAGCTATTACACTTTATAACTTCTGATCTTGAAGCAATCTATTCTCAAGAATATATTTATCGCGGGGATGTAAATATAGCAAAGTTATAGCAATAAGATTTTTATAGTTGTTTATATATAAGTTTATTAATATAAAGTAGAAGATTTATAATAGTTTTGCAAAGCAAGTATAGATTTTTCTTAATATTCTGACAACCTCTATATCTTCTGAATAACTTTTTTTTGTATATAATGCTAACGATACCTTTTCTTTTTCAAACACCTTGATGGCATCATAATGATATATGAGTCTT